GTCCAGCGGGTTCAGAGAGAGATCCTGAGCTGCGATACGAGTCCAGCTTCACGTCTGTCCCTGAAGCTTCTCTGATCACACAACGTGGAGCTGAGAGGAGCCAACAAAACGTTGTTTACCCATTTACTCCAAGAAACTGCGCACTAATTTAGATTGTACACAATGCTGTGTGAATGTTTATTACTTTTAAATTTGATGAGTTTGTTAATTAGATCTTTTTGTTAACAGTAAAAATTAATCCTCAGGTCGATCCATCAGCTGACGTAAGGCACAAAACAACTAATATGACGAAACATTTACTATTTACTCACTGGGATAATGTGTAACATGACAAAACAACTGTTTTGAATCGTTTAAACATTTTAAATAATTTTAAAATATAATTTTAAATAAAAGGGAAGTAAATCGTGATTGAATTGTTTTGTTTTAGTCGGGATGGGGCCGATCTGATCCAGTATCGGTATCGGCCTCCAATACCAGCATAATTTACGTATCGGATTTTCCGATCCATGATGCATGTTGGCTTCAAACTATGGAATGGATTTCCTGAACAGCGCCGTGTCTCATGATCCAGAGTAATAAGACCCGCCTCACATTCAGGAAATCCAGTCCATAGTTTGCAGCAGCTACAACGTGAGGACTGAGTTAGCAGCACTGTGGCTAACAGCTAACAAACTTTTCATCTAAACATGTCGCTGTGTGGAAGTGTTTTACACTGAACACCACAAAACAAGACAGCAACGTGCACTGTCTGCAGAGCCATAGCGCCACGTTAAACCGTGGTAAAGTTGGTTTTACGATGGACATTCGAGCTCCGTGGCTTCAGCGGGCGCTGCTCTTTGCTCAACCGAAAGAGGCGACTCGACCCCGGCCAGCAGCGTCCAATCTGCCGCGCTCAGTCTGCCCGTCTCTGAGGAGGGACAGACTGAGAGCAGCTGACCCAGATCAGACTGCCTGCTTCGGACTGAACAAGAAGAAGACGTCGCTGAAACCACGGAGCTCTAATGTTTACAGAGAAGTTGATAAACTTCATCATTAATGACCAACCACTATCAGTTGTAGAAAACAAAGAATTTCACAGTTTGATACTTGCAGCCAAGATCTAGTTTACCCTCCAGGAGATATTTATCAGTACAACAGTAAACAATCATAAAAAACATATGATTTGAAAATTATATATATTAAAAACATAAACAGCTACATTATAAAGTGATGTAAAATACTAAAAACTGGAACATGTCTGTTGGTTTATGCCATGAACTTAGCAGATGTTTGAAGCCATTTAACATTTTATTTAATTTAATTATTTTATTCATTTAAATGAAACAAAATTTTAAAAAATCATCAAAAAGAAAACATTGAATGAAAAGAGTTCAGGAAGAAGAAATAATTCTTATATCTGCCCCTTATAAAATATAAAACAACTTTAAACAATCACTTAAATTAATCACTTTAATATCCACTTTAAAACTAGGAATAAAAAGAAACATGTTTTGTGTTAGCAGGATTTAATTCTAACTTTAAAACTTATCCAACATTAATAAAACTTACACCTCAAGTTGCCTTTTTGGACATGCATACATATATTTGTACAAATTGTACTTGAGAGCAGATTATTACAGCCTCGTATAAAATCAATGATGATCATGATATCGGAACTGGATCGGTATCGGCCGATACTCAGTTCTAGGTATCGGGATCGGATCGGAAGTTTAAATAAGTGGATCGGTGCATCCCTAGTTTTTAGCTCCTTGTTTGGATGTTAACGCAGCTCTGTGTGTGCGTGCGTGCGTGCGTCTGTGCATGTGTGTGTGTGTGCATGTGTGCGTGCGTGTGTGCATGTGTGTGCATGTGTGTGTGCGCGCGTGTGCATGTGCGTGTGTGTGACTGATCAGTAAACCATTCAGAAATGTCTCACCTGTGCAGTTTACGTCTCTGCGCTGTTGATAAAAAGTATTTTTTAAACAAACGCATAAACAAAATCTGTGCACGTGATTATTGTACATGCACACTCGTACAAAAAAATGACAACTGAGCAAACGTGCACGTGAGGAGTTTTGAACTGTGCTTTGACAGCGAGGTGGCCTCCTGCAGAAAGTGTTTCTGAGTGACTCACCAGCGATGAAGCGGCTGCTTGATGAACTGTGCACGATCATCTTATTATTAGCTCCTTCTCCTCATATTGAATCGTTGATATTTCACTTTAACCTTCACCACATTTGAACCGGCTCTGTCTGTCGCTGCAGAGAGCTGCTGTCCTCCCTCCACAGTCCCATGATGCAGGCGTGCACGGCCCCGTGGGCCCCGTGCACGCCACTGCAGACGGAGAGAGTGAAGGTTAATTATGTGGAGAACCTCCTTCCTCCCTCTCCTTCGTCTCTCGGTCTTCGTGCCTTTCCCCCGGTCCCCTCACGGCCTGTGTGCCGGCTCCTCCGCTGCGCCTCGTGTTGTAGAAACAAAGGCCGAGCTGCTCGGAGGAAAGGAGCCGCTTTCAAATACCTGCTGGATAAAAGTTCAAAACGCTTGACAAACTCCACCCCTTTGGTTTACCACTAAACTGTGATTTATTTTAAAAACTGCATTTTCTCTGAGCTGCATCTGCAACAAGGATGATCTTCATTTTATGTTCATCCTAACGCATATTTCATGTTTAAGAGTAGTTTGTGTGAGCGTCCAGGAACTGTTTGACGCTGTTACAGGAACTGAGACAACACGGCCGACGTGTGATGAATCTTTGTGAGATCCTTGTCCTCCCACTCAAAGCTAAAACCTCATAACACCCAGAATGACAGGAAAGACAAAGGACCAGCAGCGTCTCCGAGCGCCGGCTCATTTACACATTACCAGTCATTTAGATGGTGTGTATCCACACACACTCACACCGACACAAACAAGGGCAAGGCCATCAGACGAGCCTAAAGATGATTAACGGCGACCGGGATGGGCACACGCTCGCTCTGCCTCCTCTGCACAGTCAGAACGGGGGTCTCCGGGGGCCTCCCCCGGCTGCTGGGTGAAGATGAGACGGTCAAATTGGTTTGCCAGCCACATTACTGGCCAGCAGGGAGGTGCTGCAGCGATGTGAGGGGGGAGAGGTTGAAAGATGCTGAGGAGGAGTGATGGAGGGGGAGGAGTGGTGGGAAATGGGGCAGAGGATCTAAATCTGATAAATGAAGAGGGCATCATGTCCTCCGAGTGGACGCAGTGACTTATTCTGATTGTTGAGGCTCATCCCGCCCACACACGCACGCACGCACGCACGCATGCACACACACACACACACACTCAGCTTCAATAACAACTGACACTGCGTTCAGTTTTGGCTTGCATCTAAAATAACTTTTAGATTCTTAGAAAATGTCCGCATATGATTAAAAAGCTTTTCTTTATTTACTTTATTTACTAATTTACTTTTAAAAAGTATTAAAACTTGTTGTTTGAGAGTATTTAAGATGTTTGTGATTAAAAATGAAGCATTCATGTTGACAGTATAAATATTGCATTCAAACTTACTCTGCGCATTAATTACTGCTTGGTATATGTAAAATACTTTAATGACAGTCGTTATTAATTTAGAGCTTATTAGCAGTGAGAAGGTGTTGTTTTAGAGTTGGAGACATGTTGCAAAGGACCTGCCTACCTGAGCATCACCACCAGCACACCTGGCTTAAATCTGCCACGCCCATTTTACTGCAAGTTTAGATGTTTCCAACTCTCGACCAACTGATGTTTTACACGACACAGCGCCAGAAAGAATTAACCATAGATCCAGATTCATGCCACATGGTTCCAGCTGCACTATAAAAGATAAAGAACTAATCACTTCCTGTCACGAAGCTTTCAACACAACAACAGGCGCACAAACACGCACCGATGGAAACGGCCGGTCGTCTGCCGTGCTTCCTCTCATGCTGACGATGCTCGAGTGGACAGGTTCCTGGTTGCTTGGTTCACAGAAAAGGGTCCCTCCAATGATGTATTCTTACCTCTTGCAGGACAATGTCGGATAGGGAAGTAAATAATTAAAGGAAAGGGACCCTTTCTGACTGCATCAACCCTGCCACTGCTGGTAAGCTCTACTATCCATCCATGCACACGATCCTGCTGAGGGTCATGTGCTTTTCTCTCCTTTTTAATTTTGTGTTGTTTGACATATATGTGCCCCCCCTGCATGGACATAAAAAGCACTGAGTGTTTGCACATTCTCCTCATTCGATCCAAGCGTAGATCTGTTGTTGAGAAAAGGTCCACGTCACTCCTGAGGCCCACGGTACCTTTCTGTGTTTTATTGTGATGTGTGCACTGTGGGCCCCACGTCTTTTCTAAGATCACTTGGCAACTGTAGTGCTGGAGCGAGAAGTTAGATGTTCGAACCCATTTCACCTTACACCTTTCAGCATGGCTTTGTGAGCTAAGTGCAAACTTTGCTAATTGTGTCCTGGCTTCAGCATGGCGCTTGTTCCAGAGTTTCCTTTGATCAGCTGGAGCACATGATGTGATACAACTCGCCTGGAGTTGGGCAAAACGCCCATCTTCATTAAATCCACGTCAACATGTTCATCCAGGTGCTCGATTAGACCACCTCCAATAGTGAACAAATGTGATAATGCTGTCAGGGCCCTGTGCTAATATGCTATCTGGTTCCCCTCGATTATCACATTACCACTGCTCAAATCAATTGATAAACTCCCTTTCAATACGGCTGAGTGTTTAATTGAGTCAGAGTCTATTGGATTTGAGATGTGTGTCGTGCAGACGTGCTGACAGTGGTAAACACTGGAAGGATGCTCCGTCTTCTTGCTTTCTTTGTGCACTTTATCCAAGAAGAGCTACAGGGTGAAGTTCTCGTTGTGTTGTTCTAACTGGAATCAATTTATGTTTTTATGGTTTGAGTCTGAGAGGTCAACTCAAACACATGGACATCATTTTGACTTCAAACTGTGACTGTCTTTCTGCTTTAGGCACAGCTCCAACATCAACCTGCACCGAAAACTGCTGACCAAAGAGCTGGACGACATAGTCCTTGACCCTCAACTCACGCCACTGCCTAAGGACCTGCGAGCTGAGCTGCTGGCCAAGATCTATGCAGGGCACCACTTCGGTTTGGACCCTATGGCCAGGATGGGCATTGAAGGTGTTGGTCTCAGGCCCCCGGGCCTGAACTTCAATGCCCATTTCCCTCTGAGCAACAACTACCCCCATCATCCTTTAAACCAGGATTTTAAGAACTATCACTCCAATGGCCTCTTCCGGGGCCAGCCAGACAACTATGTGGTGCTGGACCTGAGCACCACGTCCAGTGTTCAGTCCAGCAGCAGCATCCACTCCTCACACGAGTCAGAAGAAGGCAGCGATGAAGGCATCTTATTGGATGATCTGATGGAAGAGGGGGACGAGACTGAGGACGAGGGGAACAGTGAGGGAGAGGACATCTCCCACCACGTTGAGAGGCGGGCTGATGGAGGACATCAAGACGAAACTGGAGAACTAAGAGAAGACGAGAGACTGGACTCATCGTCGCCGCCGTTCCTGTTTTCACCTGCAGGGGGCGGTAATGGCAGCAGCAGTGGGATCCTCTGCAACATCTGCCACAAAACGTACAGCAACAAAGGAACCCTGCGGGTGCATTACAAGACAGTTCACCTGCGCGAGATGCACAAGTGCAAAGTTCCTGGTTGCAACATGGTGTTCAGCTCCGTGCGCAGCCGCAACCGACACTCTCAGAACCCAAACCTTCACAAAAACACGCCCTTCTCAACAATACTGGACTGAAGAAGAACTCGCTGCTCCGCCTCCTGTTGGTCTGCCTACTCCCTTGTTCAGTTCACGTCATTGTTCCTCCTCAAAAGAAACGTTGAGCCGCCAACCAGGACCATCAGATACGAGCTGAACGCCTGTATGCCTCTTGCCCGACCTTTCTGAAGTCATCACAAGACATTTTTATCACCATGTATAAAACTGAGTGTAAATACAGTTTATCATCGTGTCTTTTGAGGATGCTCGTCGGTATGGAATCAGCTTTATAACAAAGCCCCAGGCATTTTTCTCACAGGCTTCCCCGTCTTTTCATTTTCTGCCTTATGCCCACCTTGTGTTTACATCCAAAGAATCCATTCAAACTCTTATTTGTGACTTTGCCTGCGGAACAGTAGTACTAAAAAAAAAACGTCTTGTATTTGTGTAATGATAACTTTTAAATGGACCCCCTTACAAAAGCATGACAACTCCATGTGTAAATAATGTCCCGAGAGGCATTTGGTGTAAGAAATGTGTAGATGGTTGTTTGCTTCCTTCTTTTCCTCTTTATGGTTTTACGTTACAGAACGATACGTCCAGTTTAAAGCGGGAAGAGGCAGCATCTTAACACCATGACTCATTATTTGAGCTTCACAGACGAGTTTCAACCGGAGTCCCAAGGATTAAAACAACCCTGTGAATTGCTTTTATTGCTTGTTAGATATTAATAGGTTGCCGGCATGCTTTTTAAGCTCTTACACTGATATCATTTTCTGTGTTGCTACAGATTTTTTCTTGGCTGTTATCTTTATGATTTTAGTACACCAGATTAGTTTTTGCACTTTGCAAGTATACAGGGGGATGTGTAATATTATTTAGATTTTTTTTCTTTGCAATGACAAATGTGGACAATTGAGTTGGCCACAGTAAATTAAACGTACCTGTGCCGATTTCTTGTTTTGCACATGTTCAGTTTCAACAGAGAACTGAGAACTCAACAAAACCTGAAAGTCTCCCCCTGTGGACAAAAACATCTTCCAAACTAAATCAAGTCAGACTAGATACGACATGCTGGTCCACAAACACAGAGTTTTTAACAAGATGAGAAGTTATCTCCTCTTTTTGTGAAGTTGTATGTTTTTCGTGAATATGGTAATTTGTATGTTTAGTGGGCAAAACCCTCTAAAGCAGGACTATTCAACCAAAGTGCTCAGGGGCCACAGTTACTGGGAGCCGAGAGCCCAGGGGCCGGACGTCCTGCAGTTATCGTCATTAAATGTTTGTTTTATGGTTTAAAATCTAGTTTTATTTCAAATGAACCCATTGCTGGGCCGAACCGAGCTCACCCGTGGGCCTGATTTGGCCCCCGGGCCCCCAGTTGAATAGCCCTGCTCTAAAGCATGCATTTAGTTTGTCATTGTCACGATATTGCTGATCATAAGAAAAACATGGCAAAAACAGCAAAATATGCATTTAGCTCTGACCAGAACACGTTTGATATAAAAAGCTTTCCCAGTTGCTCCAGTTCGACCAGTACAAAGCACTGGAGTCTGAAACATTCTCTGTGAACCTCTGCTGCAGGCTTCCATCGCTAAACGACCTCTACAGTATGTCTGAATATTTCTTTTGATTTCTTGGATGAAACGGTTGGTTTCACTCATCCATGCTTGTCTCACATGCTTTGAATAATTGGGGCAATTAGCCGAGGGTTATTTATTAGTTACGTGTCTTCACTGACACGTTTGTCCAGTAAATGTTTTTTTTTTGTAACTACACAAAACTCGAGTTGAGGAGTTCGACGTGTTCAGTCGATGTATTCCACACTGGACTGGTGCTAAACACAGAGGGAAGCATGCAGAGGTTATGAACTTCCTGTTCTTTGACACGTCGGCCATTTTGCTGCACAGACCTAGTCTGTTGAAACGCTTCGTACCGTTCTTTAAGACTCCACATGCTGCTTCTCCGCCTCTTTTCTCCGGGATAAAGAGGGCGAGACAGAAAGCCGAGGTTGATGGAAAGGTTGCAGAGATGGAAGGCTGACTAGGGAGGAAAGGATGACAGCAGCAATCATTAAAAATGTGCTGCTTCTCTGTTACCTGGAGGCATCCCGCCATCCCAGCCTCTTCCGTCTAATAACTCACTTGTCACTTTGTTCCACTGCCAGACGTCAAGGTTGCTGACGAGACTGTGACACTGACAGAAAGAGAAAAGGACGGGAAGGGAGTGCGCTTCCAACGATTTAATTTGACTCGGTCAATTAAGTTGAATTCAATTCATCTCTTCATTTTCTACGTATGCTTATTCTTCTTCAGGGTCGGTGGTAATTTAATTCACTTCCTTTTCTCTTTTTCCCTCCTCTTTATCTGTCAGAGCACAATCATTTAACAACCGCCTTACCCATTTCTTCATCTCTCACCATGTCCTCGCTGCAGATCCTACAGGGACACGCACTAATAGTGTATGCTTAAGTTCAGCGGACGGCTGTGGCGTCAAACGGACGGGTAATTGCCTGTTTATCCCAAGTGAAGGGAGGAGAGAGCGCACGAACCCTGACTTCTCCCAGGAGCGGGTTTCACCGAGGCGCTCGGCTCTCCTCGCTCATTCAGTCCCTCTGGCACACATTTGAAACAAAAAGAGCTTCTGCAGGAGCCCTGCTGACAGCTGTCTCTCTGACGTGCACGCAGAGCCAAAGACGACCAGCACCTCACATCAGGTGACGAGCAGAGACTACCTCACCGTGCACGTCCCGTTTAAATGAACCTTCAGATCTTTGGATCTTGGTTCAGCCAGCTAGCTCTGTGAGTGACCTCAGTTTGCAGAAATACTTTGAACCGAACTGATGCTCCTCGTTATTACGAAGTCATAATGTTTCACACGAGCGCCGCTTTAGAAAACCTTTACTCCACGTTGCACAGTCAGTCCTGCTACAGCTGGCTGCTGCTGCTGCCACTACTTGTGCTTGCAGGTACAGCTCCATGTAAATACCCATAAAATGTGAAACTGATCATGATGATGTAATATTACATGAAATATAAAATGTTTGGATTAACAACAGCGATCAGCCAATATCTCATCAATACAGTCAAAATTAATCTTTAATTTTTAAAACTGAGGCTGTTGAAAAATATATTTACTACAGGAGAGATATTATATGTTCATAACCCCTACTTTAAAATGTACGAGCTATTTCTTTAAAGTTACAGCAGCAGCCATTAGTCTGTAGAGAGTGAATGTTCTGGTACCAGGACCGTCCAAACGCTCCACGATTCTGCTGGTTCTGATCAATGTTTCTGCTCATTGTTGCTGTTGGGCAGAAACCCCGTCTCCAAACCAGAACCTTTCAGAAAATTAAAGAAAGCAACTTTTCTTTCACAATAAATAAACTCTCCGACAGGCACGAGGAGCTCTGAGCCACTTTATGCAAAAACATGAAAATAGGTCAAATTAATTTGTGGCTCAACAGAAACAAACGATAAAAAAGGTATTTAGAAACAGAAACCCTTTTTTTTAATGTCTGCTGGACCCTCCAGTCAACAGCCTCACATCCAGTCTTCAGCTGGTGTCTTCTGTTGGTCCATGTCTCGGTCTCAGCCGCCTGTCAGGTGTTTCTGAACGCTTTAACAACACGCCACAGAAGAGGTTTACACAGTGAAGATCCATCTTCCCTCGGAGACCTGGCTGGTCAAAGCAGCAGGTTTCAAAGCTGCATGAGGTCAGAGAAATACGTGAAAAAGTTTGAAAACCTGTGTCTGCAGGGAGACAGCTGAGAGACGCAGGGGGAGGCTGCAGGAGCAGAAAAGGCTTGAGGCCGTTTCATGGCTGCAGCCTGGCAGGAGAAGGAAACGGTACAAAGAGACGAGCTGGAAGGACAGACCTTCACAAGCTCTCACTGGTTCCTCTGGTTGTTTACTGCAGAGCGATCAAGCCACCCTTATACTTCCAGACTTATCCTCCAGAGAGATGACCACCGTTTTCCTTTTTTCCAAACGCTCCGAGCTTAAATCTGGTCGTGTTCTGCTGCTGCTGACCACGCTTCGAGACGATGGAGACGTTTCGCTCGGAGCGGCTCAGACCACTGGAGTGAATCTTAAATATTTGATTAGAGGCAGTCATCAATTATTCTGCAGCTCTACGGCACAAAGAGGGGAACGAGGAGGCAAACAGATGAAATGCATGATCTGATAATCACCGTCCATTTAGTTCATGTCGCACAATGAGTCCAGTGAGGAGGACGAGAGCACGAGGGGCGGTGGGGGGGTCGTGGAACCATGACGAGTTTAACACGACAAACACGTACGTGTGGGTTTGTACAGTTCTTTAAAAACGCCTTGAACTGGAACCAGTGAAATGTCATTTATTCTGCAAAAGAGTCGATTCATGAAATGCTTTTCTTTGTATTTTCAAAAAACCTTTCAGTCTCAAAGTATAAATAGTTTGAAAAGCTGGTGATTGTTTTTTAACTTGTGTATCTGATGCGTTAGTGTCCGTGTTCAGAGAGAGCCTGTGTTACTCGACAGCGTTGCATGGCTTCACCATCAAAAACAACAAGAGGACGGAGATGATAAAATATGGTGACGTGGGAGCCTCGTGTCCCCAGGTGCAGACGGAAGGATGAAAACATCCTTTTTTAAAGACTTTTTCTTTTTAGCTTCTCTTGTACTTGTTTCTGTATCATAACTGTCTATGGTTTTTGCATAAAATGCATAAGGGTTTTGGGATGTAAATGGAATTTTATTCATATTTTGTCCAAATACCTCTTGTAATTTGTATCAGAATTCTTGTACAATTTTTATATTAAAGATTTATCAGTCACTGACGTGGTGTCATCAGATTTTATTGAAGGGTTCAGACTCGGCCTGCCATGTGCAGAAATAACAAAACTACGTGTCAGTCAGGCAGCTTGAACAAGAGACTGTGATTTTAATTACTCTGCGATAGGAATCGTTGGGGAAAAGGCTATCTTGACCAATTAGTGGACGATTAAATTAATTGACTTCTTAAAAGATGTGCAGGTATGAGAAGACGGTGCTGCTGTGGTTAGCAATTAGTTACGATGGTCACCAAACAACAGAAAGGACGTCCTGCTCTCTAAATTTAGGTTAACATCAATTTATTAAAGCTCATGGTCAGAACAGACAGGATGTGATGAAAACAGAGTTTAAAGCGTTAAAAACATTTTCCTGGGCTGTGTGAGAATAATAACAGATTTCAAATAATCATGAGAATTATCTGAGCTGATCAGGTCAAACTAAATGTTTGTTCGACGTGAAGTTTCCTGAGGGTCAAACGCCTCCACAGGAGCCAACAACTCAGCGGTGAACGTAAAGGAGAGGGACGAGGATTATTAATCTGGAAATAAACTCTAATCTAATCCACCGCAGGTTTTTGGTTCCAACAATCATCCAACACGCACACAGTTTTTCACGTGCACTCTTGGATAAAAGTGTTCAGGCACCTTTAGTGAGATTTACTTGTTGATTCAACCCAATTCAAGATGGCCGCCACAGCCAACTAACTATTTTCCAGGTTTGAGCTGCAGAGTTGCTTTAACTGTGACGTACGCACATTTTACCTGCGCAAAACACGTTTAAACGTGCATCGTTTTCAAATGTCATCGAAAAGATTAATTCTTTGAAATTTACTTCAAACCTGAAAACATGAAATAAATTAAATAAGTCTGAGCTTTCCTTGTTTGGAGACATGTCTCTACTAAAACACAAAGTGCATGAGAAATGAGAGTCAATAAAAGCTTCAAGGAATTTCTAAAAAGGACATTAAATATTAAAAATCAGTTTTGATTTTGATCATGTTTAATGTGAAAATATACACTTTGTTACAACAGACAAAGTTTTATATTATGTGCCTTTTTTATTGGGGTTTAAAACTTTTCAAAACATTTGTCTT